TTTTTTTCAGGTAAGTCTGTCTGACAGTATTCAGATTAGAAATACTACAGAAATTGAATAAAGTAATCAAATGCAAAATTCAACACTGTATGAATAAAAGTGATAAGTGATTTTTGTCTTTCTCTTGTTTGTTTCTAAATCGAATGCTCTCTAATCAACTGACACATTGTGGTTTGTACCAAATCTTCAAACCAAGTATGAAAACATCCTAAATCTCGTAACTGTCAACCAGCAGTGGTTTTAACCGCTCTTTCTGTGTCTCTCTAAGCCGATGACATAAAGCCATGTCCCCGCTGTGCGGCCTACATCATCAAGATGAATGATGGGAGCTGTAATCACATGACCTGCGCTGTGTGCGGCTGTGAGTTCTGCTGGCTGTGTATGAAGGAGATCTCTGACCTGCACTACTTAAGGTCAGTGTCCTGAACACCACTGCAGTGTTGACATCAATCAGACATCTAAATTTAACTGCATTATTGACAGTTGACCTGAGAACGGATGAAGGCCAAAGCTGCAGTCATCAGAATTATTTTTGTGCTAAGGTTACATTTCTACATTTTGTAACTTCTCTGTTCCTGACACAGTCCTTCAGGATGCACATTCTGGGGTAAGAAGCCTTGGAGCAGGAAGAAGAAAATCCTGTGGCAGTTGGGCACACTTGTGGGCGCTCCGGTTGGCATTGCACTGATTGCTGGCATTGCCATACCTGCAATGATCATTGGGATTCCTGTGTATGTGGGCAGAAAGGTGGGTGGCTAAACTAAACACTGTGGAGAATGAAGAGTGAGGTTTTAATTTATTTGTTTTCAAACCCAATCTTTTGAACTGATTGCAATGTATGAAATTGGATAAATTTTCAGACAGTCCTATTTGGTATACCTGCACCAGCTCCATAGTAATGATGAGAATCAGCTTGGTGCCAAGAGATTTTCTTTAACAACTGAGAGTAGCTGTCATTGTGAAAAAAGAGGACTGAGATCTAGAAACGGTCTCTGTTAATTGCAGGATGCTAAACTCATAAAAAGCTAACAGTTAGTTTTTACTCTGAAGACTTTAAAACTATTCTTTTCAATAACCATATCAGTAACCAAATATATATATATTTTTTTTTTTACTCTTTCCACTTGAGTTTTCATAGGCCACATTTCCACTGTATTTGACCCATTCAAAAGGACTATAAAATAATGATTTGGTGTGTTTTTTATATATATATATATATATATATATATATATATAT